CTCTTTGACCTCCCCCGATTCTGATTTCTATCTCCCCAACTCCGAAATCTGGAATTTGTTTGTATCTCCGCTTCCTGCAATGTGGCCTGGGGACTTCCCCCAGCTCTAAATGAGGGCAACTGCAGGGCTCATCTTGTTTTTCTTCCCCCAGGGACTGCAGTTATGTGCTACCTGTTGTCCACTGTCTAAAGACAGTTGTTTAACATATTCGTCTGTCTTTTAGTTGTTAGCAGCAGGAGAACAATTTAATTTCCATAGCAGTTCATTTTTCATGAGCAGTCTTGAGTTTCATTTTGCCCATGTTTTTCCCTAAGGACCTTACACCATTTATAAATACTAATAAATTAAGGATCGAATGAATGATTTCACATTCTACAAATCCCTTTACCCCTTAGTATTTGTTTCTTACTTTATTCTACCACCCTCACAACAGCAGTTCTCAACCTTTTTTGATTGACAATCTATACTAAAAATTTAATATTTAATAGAATTATTGGCAACATCCTCCCCAAAATTAAGAGATTCAAAACAGAAACAAATCAGTAATGATCACAGCACAATCACCACTCCAGCATAACAATGTCTTTTAGTGTCTATAAAAGCAGCCACGGGCCGGCTCGTGGCTCACTTGGGAGAGTGTGGTGCTGATAACACCAAGGCCATGGGTTCGGATCTTGTATAGGGATGGCTGGTTAGCTCATTTGGGAGAGCGTGGTGCTGACAACACCAAGTCAAGGGTTAAGATCCCCTTACCGATCATCTTTAAAAAACAAACAAACAAAAGCAGCCACTATTCATTTACCACCCTTCAGTGCTGTGTTGTTTTAGTAAGAATCATCCACTGCCCTAACTTCAATAAAGCTGTTACTAAAAAATGTATTAGTGTTCTAGAATTATGGGTGGTTAAAAAAAACTTAAGCTTCCTATTATAATTACAAAAAAATTTTAAACAATCATAAGCCTACCACCAAAAGACAACACTGTTAATAATGCTTTCCAGTCTTCTCACTGCATTCCTGTGAAGTCAGGATGAGAGCAGGTGCAGCCCAGGTATGAACAAAATACTGCCAGGGTGTGCCTCACTGGTGCACGTGCTTGTAACAATGGTTTGTGACAGGATGTCACGGGCCTAGAATCTAAGAAAGAGCAGTGAAGATATACCACCTTCCTAATCAACAGTATGCGTTCCAGCAAGTCCCAGATGGGGACCAGTGCAGTGGTCAAAAATATCTAGTCCTGGGTTCAAGGTTATGCTCTGCCACTTCATAGTTCTGATTTTGGATGAGTCACTCAACCTCTTGAGCCCATTTCCTCTTCCATAAACTGGGAATGATAACATGATACTTTCCTCAAGGGTGCTTGTGAGGATTAATATGATGACCCATATAAAGTAGTTAATACAGCCTGGCCTGCAGTAAGCTTTTAATAATGTTAGGTTTTAATATACGCACAGAGATATTGTACTAACAGCTTAAAATAATAGCTATCATTTACTGAGCCTTTACGGTCCCAAATGCGTTATATAGAATACTTCATGCAATCCTTACAATAATCCCCTGAGGCATTATCCCCATTTTACAGACAAGAAAGTTTAGAGGGAAGAGTTAAGTGACTTGCCCCAGGTCACACAGGAAGTAAGGTGGAATCAGGCTTTGAACACAGGAAATCTGACTGCTGCTCACTCTTAACCTCTATAATAACTTCTAAGGCAGCACACACTAAATGTTAACATGCTAATTTTTGACATTTAGCACCCCTGAGTGCATATGGTTGGTTTAAAAAGTTAGGATGTCGCATATAGTTTTCAAAATATAAAGCAAATATTTGACACTGTCTTGAACGTTCACATAACACTGGTTCCCCAGGACACAGTTTGAAAATTCCCAAGGCAGTTCACTGTTGGACAGTTCTAATTGCTAGGAATTTCCTTCCTGTATCAAAACTGATTCTCTTTTTTTCACCTGTATTCTCTCTTTGTATTTCACCTGTCCTACTTCCAATCCTTTGAACCAACTCATAATAAGTCTCATTCCTCTTGCACATTGATGATTTTCAAAATGCAAGTCAATCTGTAGTATTTGTGAAGTTTTTGTTTGTTATGTGCATGTGTGTGCTGGGTCACAATATAAAATGCATTTATTACCAAGGGTCATAGTCAAAATGTTTTACAGCCACTGTTCTATATAACTATTCTTCAAGAATTTGAAGGTAGCTGTCATATCCCACCTAAAGACTAATCCTCTTCTCCACACGGGAACGCTTCAGCTTTTGCAATACCTCCTTGTAATGTGAGAGCTCCTTCCGCTCACTATACTGGGCATGATCCTCTGGTCCCGTCACCAGATTCATCTGGACCTCTGCTCAAACCTTCTTAGGGATGACTTCCCTGACCACCCTCTCTTAAAAACCCCATCTTTCCCTAGCCCCTTACACTGCTTTATTTTTTTCAAAGTACTTTTCACTACCCAACATTATATTGTACATTGATCACTTTCTTTGTTTATGATCTTCCCCAATAGAATGTTCACTGCTAAATCCCCAGTCTATTTGTGGCACATAGTAATTGCTCAATAAATATTTGTGAATTAAATGAATGAATACTAGAGGAAGTAGTATTTTAGCAATACTGTGTATAGACGGGCTCTAATACAATTCTTTCCTTCAGGAACTAGATTCTATAAGTATTTAACTCACATGATTGCAACTATAGGTGTGCTTTCATTCTACCATCGCTATGTTTCTTAAAAAACGTTATTATATACATGCTAGAGTATTATCACATATTTTATACATTTATACATATTACTATACAGGGTACGTCAACATATACTAAATCATGTATACTGTTACTTTATGTGAAATTTTATGAGATTTGCATGAGTAGTTTTGATGATAGGCAATTTTTATCAATTCAGTTATAATGCTTTCATGCATCTGGGCAGTATTTTACATTTTTTCAAAGCACTCTCAGCTAAATAACCTATTAGATATTTTTTATAGGCTGAGAAAATGGGTCAGAGAGATGGAAGGAGTTTTAGCAACCGGCTGTTGACCACTAGATTCAAATTTCACCTTTTCATTTAACAGATGGGTAAATCAAGGCCCAGAGCAGGGAAGATGTTTGCTGACGGACACCCAAAGAGCTCGAGTGGAGTCGGGATTAGAACTCAGCTCCTTCCCGTCCACCCTCCCCCCAGCACTAGAGCCCCCGAACATTTGTGCGCTGGCAGAGGCTGAGGGAGAGGGGTCAGAGGTCCACGCCACTCACAGGAGCTCCGTGGAGAAGGCACGCTGTGGTTATCACCACTTTTCAGGTGGGGACACAGGAGGGGCACCTCCCACGGTGGCTTCTTTTCGCACTCGGGGCACCACCTAGCTCCGCAGAGGCCAGGGGTCTCAGTGGGTGTCCCATGGGGAGCGCCGGGTCCTCCTCCCCACGACCTCAGGGAACTGTCCCTCCACAAGAACTGAGTCCTACCTCGTCTGTCCCGCGGGCTGAATCTGGCCCGCCCAACCTCCCCGTCGCTGTGGCAACCACAGGCCTCGCGTCCGCCGGCTGAGTCGAGCCAATGGTGTGCTCTGTTTCTCTAGCGTGGAAAGTTGTTGACCAATCGTTAGAGCCGTTTCAAACTCCGCAGAGAAGCTGCTAGAATTTTAGGATTCAAGTTAAACGCACTGCGCCAGGACTTGTGGGGGAACTAAGAAGGACTGATCTAGGCGACCTCTCAAAAATATTGTGATAGACTGAAAACCTTAGAATTTTGCTAACTCAAAAATCCTACTTCAAGGAATAAGCCTAGGAGAATTAATATTCATCCAAGCCCTGTCTACAATGGCAAAAGAAAAAAAAGATTGATATGGGCAGCTATACCAGGGCAGCTATACCAGGGCAGCCGCGTGGTGTTCCAAAAGCCCCTGCTGCTTACGCTCTTCAGAGCGGTCACAGTGATCTTGTCACTTCCCTGCTTACAGCCCTCCAGTGGCTCCCCTTTAACCTTAGGATGAAATCCAGATATCTTTATTATAAGTCCCTGGTCCGTTCCTCTGATCGCAGTTCCTACCACACCCGTCCCTGGAAACATCTCACACCAGCTCCGCTGGCCTTTAGGTAGCCCTTGCAACAGGCCACGTCGGTCCTCTCTCGAGTGTGCCCTGAGCGCTCTCTGTCCCAGGATCTGAACCATACTGGCCCTTTCTCGTTATTTACGAGAACTACTGTCCAATAAATGCCCAAATGTCATTTCTTCATTGGCAAAACAGGCATGAGCTCAATGTCTCGCTCAGAGGGTTGCTGTGAGGATCTGAAATGAAATGCGTGCACGTGAAATTGTGTCAGTGATGAAAAGCTCTTTGTCACCTGTAAAGAAAGCTCCATGCACTTGTTAATTATTACAGACGTACATTATAGAGACATTGATCAAACGTTAGGCCCGTTGCAGGATCTTCAGCACTGCTGAGCTACAGGCGTGCTGGGAGGCTTGGTACCGGTGTCACGGGAGGGCAGGAAAGGACAGAGACGTGACGGCCCCAGTACTTGCGAGGGCTTTTGGGGGACTGGGGTCTCGAAGGACGTTTAGGATTTGAATGCATGGTGAGAGCGTGGGGTGGGGGACTGCTGGGCAAAGCCCGGAGGTGGCTATGAGCAGAAGGCAGGACACGTGGCAGGCTGCTAAAGACGAGCCCACCTGTCGGATAGGTGGAGGTGAGCAATCACCTGAACTGTCCTGGACAGCCTAAGAGGAGGGAGGAGGTTTGCTCCTACGTTCTTCCCGTGGCCGCTAGAGGGGACCCCTCCAGGTGAGCACCAACCTCGGTCCCCAGGTCTCTCCCCTACGCTTCAAGCAAGCTTTGCGGCACAGCCAATATTGCGAGATGTCCCGCCCCCCCTCCTCGCAGCCACTCTCCTGCGCGAAATCCCTGCCAGCCTTTGACTGGCAGGCGGGCTGGCAAATCAAATCGCCGCCTTGGAAAGCAAAACAGTTCTGCAGCCTGGCCGTTCTGAGTTGGGAAGGAATTAAGGAGGCTGTGCCTCCGGGTTGCACGAAGCGTCCAAGTCATTTCTCAAAACCTCTGATAGGTGGACCTTAGAGGCAGCGTTGCCGGTGAGTAGTGATTAAGACGGGGGCGGGCGGTGGAATCGGGAGGGCTTGAATTCAGCCTTAGTGTTTTCAGGAAAAGCGAATGCATTTGTAATCATAAAACGTCCCCTAGTATAAATAAATAGCCTTCATTCTGGCTGCCACCAGCCTTGTCTGTTTGGGTCCCGTTGCCTCAGAACGTTTTTCACATTTTTGCATCGAGGGTGAGAGGAGAGGGGGCATGGCTTTGCCTTCATATAGGTGATGTCAGGCTTCTCCAAACCAGGAAGTGATATGGAGTAACTTGGCCACAATTCCTCCTCTGCGTGCCGGCTCGGGCTTCCTGACAGTGGCCGATGGTGGAGTTAGCAGGTGGGATGAGGGGTGGCGTTCTTGGTCTGTGCTGGATGCTGGGACAGAGGTGCTGTCTCCTTGAGTGGTAGAGTTTCCAGCTTAGTGGGAGAGGACTGCAGAATGTAACCCTTTAGTGAGCCAAAGCCCAGGAAAGCAAAGCTTGGCAGGTAATTGGCATCACCGATAGCCAGAAGCTGAATCGTCAGGTGGTGGGAAAGAGCACGTTTTATTTATTTGTTCAGATAGAGCCAAATTTTAACAAAGACCTAACCCCTAGCAGCCACGAGCCATCTGTCATCTGTAAAACCTGCTCTGTGGGATTGGTGAAATAACACATTGAGATAAGGGGGGGGGGAGGGGGGAAGCAAGCACCTGGTGAATTAGCTTTCCTTTCTTGAGTCGGAGACCATGTGCTTTAATTGGGGGATGGTTGGCAACAGAGTTGGCTGCTTACCTCTTAGACATATGTTAATTCTGAAAACGTACTTTGAAATCAGGAAAAGAGAGTCACCAGGCAAGGAATGTGTGCCTTATAGGGAAGTACAACTTGCAAAGAGTTCTCCCAGGGCTTTCAGTCCAAACTCCTACCCAGCTAAAGGAGAGCCTTCTATCCTTGCAGGAGATGCCTCAGAGGTCTAGGGGTTCCCGAGGCAGGGAGGGAAGTTACCAACCACCACCAACAAAAGCAAAATCCAAAAACCACCTGGACAAACCAGCTGGTCTAAAGGAGGTTAGGAGGCCTGGATTCCACCACCCCCTTGGCATCTCCCCAAGGCTTGTTTGCTTTCTCTAACGTCCTTTGGGTGGGGCTGCACATATTTGTTTGTTGTAGCTCCGGAGTTATGGTTGATTAGGCCTGAGTAAGGTGTTCTTCTTGACCGTGAAGTGGCCACAGTGCACTGGGTACTAAACAGGCCTGCATTTAGTCAGTCAGTGGGTATGTATGGAAGTTGCGGGAGGGAGCAACTGAACAGAGGATTCAGCAAACATCTTACTGTAGTGTGTGCTCCAGTGCCCCTTCAACTCCAGGTTGAATGACTCCTAGGGCCTCTCAGAGGTAGAAGGAGCCCTGGGCCACTCTTCTTTTCTAAGACTCTCGTATGTTATATTAAAAATGCCAAAACAGGGATACAAAAATTTAACACAATAATGCTTTTCACACGTTCATGAAAGTATAGTGAAGAATAATTATGCTTTCCATAAGATTGCAAACACATATTCATAGGGTTTTATGGGCAGGGAAGTTTGGTTATGGGATGTGAGTTATAAAGTTACATGATGAGTATATACATCTCATGTATATATACTACCTCATTTGGAAGCAGCAGAAATAGTTTAATTTTGAGGCCCTTTGAGAAAGAGACACCTAGGTCACTGGTCTTCATGGCTGCCCCTGAGCTAAGCCTGCATCTGGTGTTCCTAGGTGCTGGATCGTACCTAGTAAGTCCTAGATGGTGTTCACCCTGTAGTATAGTATGCATATGTTTACACCCAAAGCCAAAATTCTTGGGCCTGGGGCCTGAAAGCAGTAGGAACTGGGAGCTACAGGATAGACAGGTGGCAGCTTTCTGAAGCCTCAGGACATGGCAGGGACTGTGACTATTTAGCACACAGTGAGCCCTCAATTAATATTTGTTGGATGAATACATGAGAGAAAGAAAGGAATATTCATAGGTAAATAAAATAGTTAAGCTGGTGAGGATAAAATTAATACTAATAACAGTTGACATTCATTGACCATTTGCTGTGCATGAATTTTACATTATTTCATCAAATTTTCACAATAGCTCTGTGGGGTAGGAACATTATTATCCATATGTTACAGCTGAGGAAACTGCCTGAAAAGTTAAGTGACCTGGCCAAGGTAAAACAGGTAGCACGTGACAATCAAAAGCAATTTAAGGGCCGGCCTGGTGGCGCACTCGGGAGCTCGGCGGCGCTCCCGCCGAGGGTTCAGATCCCATATAGAGACCGGTCCGCTCACTGGCTGAGCGCGGTGCAGGCGCGACACCGAGGGTTGCGATCCCGTTGCCGGTCGCGGTACGGGCGTGACACCGAGGGTTGCGATCCCGTTACCGGTCACGGAAAAAGACAAAAAGGAAAAAAAAAAAAGCAATTTAAAACATTTTTTTTTTTTTCCCTTTTTGTCTTTTTTCGTGACCGGCAACGGATCGCAACCCTCAGTGTCGCGCCCGTACCGGACTGGGACCGGCCACGGGATCACAACCCACGGTGTTGCTCCCACCCCTCGCTCAGCCAGTGAGCAGCCGGTCTGTATGTGGGATCCGAACCCTTGGCGGGAGCGCCACCGCGCTTCCCAAGCGGCGCACTATAGCAGTGCGCCACCGGGCCGGCCCATAAAACATTTTTATATTAAAATAAACAGACTATGCAATAGAATCCAAATTTATTATTTTTTTAAATATAAGAAGACGTCAAAGAAACCTTCGCACTTGTGGTAGGGTTTTGGCCATGCCTCCCAGAGCACTAGGGTGTACTTTCTTTTTCTTCTCTATTTGGTAGAAAAGTTTGATGACCACTGAAAGTATCAGTCCAATGAACTTAACAGGGATTATCATCATTGCTGGTTTTACTTGAGGCCACATTATTACCCCCACTTTACAGATGAGGCACCTGAGTTTCTGAGAGGCAAAGTGATCTGGTCACAGGTGTCTTCCATCTCCCAGTCCAGTGTCCCTTCACCTATGCCAGGCTGACCCTAGGTAGCGAGCTAGTTCTTCCATCTTCCATGGAGAGAGCTTCTCTTTTCATTCTTTCCTTCCTCAGTTGGAACCCAAATGATTTCCTTTTTCTGCCCTAGGATTTTTTTTTTTTTTTTTTTTTTTTTTTTTGGAGGCCTGGAGAAGTAGATGTAAGTGGTATTCTACTTCTTGTGCACAAGAGCCTATGGAAAAAAGGAGGGTTTAAATGTGAAGATGATGGAGGCTGGCCAGTTAGCTCAGTTGGTTAGAGCACAGTCTTATAACACCAAGGTCACAGGTTCAGATCTCATACCAGCCAGCCACCAAAAAAAAAAAAATAAGACACATAATGGGAGGAAGAAAACAGAGTAGGAGAGGCAAAGAAATTTCGAAGGGCCAAGGAGAAAGTCTTTGAGGTAGATGACTTCTGTCTTTATTAAGGGGGCCAAAGACATGATATAATTTTTAAAATGGCCTCACTTCTCATGGCCACTTGTGTTTTGTCCTGCTAGGACTCTTCTCAGGTCACAGAGCTGGGCTTGATGTTTCACTGTACATGCATTTTTAATGTTCCTCTCCCCCACCCTAGAGCACTGCAAGAATCAGAAACGCATCCCTGTCTGTCTGCTTGGGAGAGACAAAGAAATTGGTGTTTCTCCAAGTGAAGCTGAGAAGGCTGTCAATCAGCCAAGGGAGCCTCAAAGTCCTCTTCCTGCGTGAGGAAGAGGTGGCGACTGGAAGGAGAACACCACCAGGGAAGATGGCTTCTGGTGTGGGCCCTGCCTAGCGGCAGCTGCAGCCACAAACCAAACCAGCAGGATGCGCCTCTAGACACCATGGACGGGGCCCAGGGTGCAGCCCTGCAGCTGCAGCAGCTCCCACCCACGAGCAGCGCTGACCCTGCCAGCGAGGCTTCCTTCTCCTACAAGGCAAGGGCATGTTTTGGTTTTAGAATTATGCATTATCCTAAGAAGAAAGTAACACAGTGCAGCATTGACAGGGGAAGGTATGATCAAAATAAAAGAAAGGCCCATGAAAGTACATAAACAGAGAGATAGAGAAACATCTCCAAAAGGAAAAAAAAAAAATGAATGTGTTCCCACACTTAGAAGATTTGACTTTTTGGGCCGGCCCGGTGGCGCACTGCGATAGTGCGCCGCTTGGGAAGTGCAGTGGCGCTCCCGCCGAAGGTTCAGATCCCACATACAGAGCGGCCGCTCACTGGCTGAGCGAGGTGTAGGGGCAATGCCGAGGGTTGCGATCCCGTTGCCAGTCCTGGTCCGGTATGGGCGCGACGCTGAGGGTTGCGATCCGTTGCCGGCCACGAAAAAAGACAAAAAGGAAAAAAAAAAAGATTTGACTTTTTAAAAATCACCTACTCTATTACTTGGAGATAATCTTTGTTCATATTTCAATATATCTTCCTCTTGTCTTTTTTCTGATATTACAAATTTGGGGTCACATTGCACATGAAGTTTTGTATCTTGGTTGTTTCACTTAACCTTACTTGTAGAATATTTCCCCATGTCGGTAAGTAGTGATTGAAAGCATGCTTTTTTGAATGATTGCCCAATAATCAGATGAGCTGCTGTATCAAAATTTGCTCAGAAGATCCCCTCTTGTTGGATATTCAGGTTGTTTCTAATCTGGGGTGACTATAAACAGTGAACATCCCAGAGTGTAAATCTTTGTGCTTATCGCTGATTATTTCCTAGATATATTCATATGGATACAATGAATAGGCCAAAAGGAATGAAGCTTTTAAAAATAAGAGGTTTTAATGTCAAATGTGCGTGTTTCTAAACATCTATCCATGCAGCATCTGCAGACTTGGATTTATTTAAAATCGTTTTTTTCTGGATCAGAGACTGATAACAACCTAGAGCTGAAGGAGACCTTAGACGTTCATCTCATCAAACCCTCATTTTATGGACTGGGAAAGTGAGGCTGAGAGATGGGAAGTGACATACTTCAGATCGCGTAGCAAGATGAGAGGCAGAGTTAGAATATTAGTTCTAGATAATAATTATGATAATAACAATGACTAATATTTATTGAGCTTTTATTCTATCCCAGGTCCTGTGCTAAGTTATTCACATGCATTTTCTCAGGTAGTCTTCACAATAGCAGTATAAAGTAGGTACAGTTTTCCTCATCTGTAAAATGGGGATAATGATAATACCTACCTCTTTTTTGAGGATTAAATGAATTCATCCACATGAAGCACTTAGAACAGTGACACACACACACACACACACACACACACACACACACAGACCAATGTTTAACGAGTGCTTTCTGTTACCATTTTTATCCCCACTTTAGAGACCAGGAAACTGAGACACAGAAAGGTTATGTAACTGACCCCAACTGGCACAACTGGTAAGTTGTGCAACCAAAATTTAAACCCAGATCAGACTGATTGTGGAACCATGCTCCTAACCACTGCACTGCCCTGCCTTGCTGGTGTTCTGGCTTCTCATCAGTGCTCTCTGTTCCACCACACTCCAGTGTGCTGTGTCACTTCAGTATGACGAAGAAGGGGACAAGGCAGAGAGGAACAAATGGAGACACTGGGGATAGTTAAAGGGCTTTTATCTTTTTTTTTTTTTTTTTGTCCTTTTTGAGACCGGCCTCACCGTGCTCAGCCAGTGAGCGCTGTGAGCGCTGTGAGCGCACCGGTCATCCCTATATGGGATCCGAACCTGCGGCAGGAGCGCTGCTGCACTCCCAGTGCCGCACTCTCCCGAGTGCGCCACGGGCTCGGCCCGGGCTTTTATCATTTTAATTCCATCTAACTATCCAGGCAGAATATACATGTGCACTCTGACCTTCATACCCATGGATTCCCCATCTGCAGATTCAACTAACTGCAGATTGAAAATATTTGGGAAAAAAAAACAATAAAAAATAATCTTTAAAGCAGTGTAACAACTATTTACATAGCTTTTACATTGAATTTAGTATTATAAGTAATCAAGAGATGTGCATAGGTTAGGGCCGGCCTGGTGGCGCACTGCTACAGTGCGCTGCTTGGGAAGCGCAGCGGCACTCCTGCCGAGGGTTCGGATCCCACATACAGACTGGTTCCCGCTCACTGGCTGAGCGAGGTGCGGGTGCGACACCGAGGGTTGTGATTCCATTGCCGGTCCCGGTCCGGTGCGGGCGTGACACTGAGGGTTGCGATCCGTTGCCGGACACGAAAAAAGACAAAAAAAAAAAAAAGATGTGCATAGGTTACATGCAATTACTACACCATTTTATATCAGGGACTTGAGCATTCGTGGATTTTGGTATCTGAGGGGGTCCTGGACTCAATTGCCTGTGAGTAATTAGTGATGACTGTATGGAAATGATGAAATTTTGTCTGGAATTAGGCTGATTCTAGAGTGAGGATTGATTCTGATGTCCACAGCAGACTGTCACACCAAAGAGGATCTAGTAATTCATGTCCAAAGTCAGATCAGTTTCAGAGCCAAGATGACATGATTTTCTCATCACTGGCATCTTGCTCCTTGATTTTCTTTTCATGAAAGCCTGTTGTTTTCCCTCTCTGTGTGGGTGTCAGACTGAACATTGGGAGACTGGGTTCTTGGCCCAACTCTGTCATCACTGGCTGTGTGATCTCAGGCAAGGCTTGTTCCTTCTCTGTGCCTCGTTTCTGTCTCTGTAAAATGAAGGGGTGTGATGATCCCCAATCCTGGCTGACCACCGGAATACCTGCGGTGCTCTAAGATATACAGACTTCTAGGCTTCCTCCTTCCATTTACCCCCTTATTTCTACTCCTTACAAATTGTGGTTTAGCATATCTTGGCTGGCAATCCAGAATCTGCATTTTATAAAACCTCCTCAGGGGAATTGGACAATCAGCCAGGTGTGGGAATTTCTAGAGCAGATGATCTACTAAGCTCCACACCCCCCCGACTCTACCATCTTGAGAAATCAAGATCTCAGGCCACCTCGTCTTAGCCATCACTGATATTCAAAGCGAATGAAACAAACTCTTCTCAAGTGGGCAGTTACTGTTATCATCTTTGTAGGTGTCCGTGTGCATCACGGTGCCTTATTCAAAATAGAGCAGGGTTTCCAGTCAGAAAACATTTTTCTTAACCTTTTTATTGAAGTACAGCATACATACAGAAAAGGATACAAATCATAAGCACTAGATATAAAATGTTAACTAAGAGTACACACATGTAACTGGCTGTCAAATCAAGGAGCGGAACATAACTAGTACCCCAGAGTCTCCTCATATCCCCTTTCAGCCACTTCCCTCCAGTCACAGGCAACCACTCTCCTACCCACTGAGCAAACATGTTAACACTGTCACAGTCTTGGCTTCAGAGGAATTTCAGGGTTTCTGGGTCAGCCTGAGTGAACACCACCAGGGCCTTACATCTTGGAGGTGTTGGGTGCTTTAGTTCTGGGAAGCAACCAGAACATTCCATTCTGCTTTTTGATATTCAGAGTTTAACACCATTTATAAGGTCACAATAGCTGTTCTCTCTGAATTGTGCCAGGTCTTAATTTATAAAGATGACTGAGTGACAACATGGAGAGGTCAATGCCAATGTAAGATTTTTATTACTCACGCTTCCTAAGGGAAGAGAGCACCGCACACCACCAAGGAAGCACCAAGGTCAGGAGGCAGAGGGAGCGAAGAGAAAGCCTAGGCCAGGGCCTCTGTTGTAGTTTCCATGGGAAAGGCAAGGCAGGATTTAGGATTGGCTAACTTGAATAATTCTGGAGGACTTTGGGGCATGGGGACTATCAGTTGTCTGGTACCTGGTCCTGGGTTGTGGCAGGAGAAATTTTGACATGTATGTGAGTTTGATAAAGGAGTTCATTGGATCCAGATGGTCTGGATTGATTAGTTAGGTATGGAACGCAGGCTGCTCTGCTGTTTCTAAGAATTGGCTAGCCCTGGGAGGGACAGTCTCTCCCCAGTCAGCGAGGCCACAAATACCAGAGCATCAAAAATACAAAAATAGGAAAATATAGTGAATATAATTGGCCCTGTCAGGAATGGATGCCAAGTAAACAAATACAGAACCTAAGAAAACACAGAACACTCTTTCTGATGAGGTTTCTAGTAAGTTTTCATTTTAATTACAAATTCAATTCAGTTGCTTATTACAGAATATCTTCAGGCCAGAACAAAGGTAAATAAGTCATGGTGACTCTACCAAGGAGCATAAGAATTGAGGTGGGAGATGGGCATGTGAACAGATGGTTATGAGCTGACTGAAAACCAGGTGGGGTACAGAGAAGCAGCCCTGGGTTCAAATTCCGACTCTGCTCCTTCCTAGCTAGGTGACCTTGGACATGTGACCTCACCCCTCAGAGCTTCTGTTATCTCATCTGTAGAGAGATGGTAGTAATACCTCCCTCCCACAGCTGTGTGGATCAATGAAAAAGCACCTAATCCTGTGCCTGACTGTGTGCTAGGTATGCAGGAGGCACTTGGCTCAGAATTGCCACACGGTTACGAAAAAGAACACATGAAAGTACACAGAGTAGGGGGCAGGTGTGATTAATATGACAGGGGTTTCCAAGGGGAAGCCATCCTCTTTTTCCTTGACTTTGTTAAGGCTGTTTTGGTTGCAAGGAGTAAAAGCCCATTTCAGGGAAGATGAGGTAAAAGGGTAAATTATGACAAGGCTACGGGAGGGTAGCTCATGAAATCCACTGGCAGAAAGGGCCGTGGGGCTCGGAAGGTGCTGGAACTCATAACCCTACCCCTTCAAAAGAGGGGAGGCCTGATTGGCTCAGCTTGGATCAGGTGTCTATCCCAATCCAGTCAGCAATGGCTGGGGGCAGGGCCACTAGGCAAACATTGTTTGTGGGGCACCACCGTTATGGGCAGCTGTTATAGAAAAGTGGTCATGTGGTCTGGGCAGACTGCTCCCAGATCATCTCCTACCTTGA